ACTCTGAAGTGACTTGTTTTATGGTGTGTCTGCCTCCCGTGTTTAACGTGGTTTTTCCCCTGACATATAAATGCAACAGAACTGTTTCTGTACTGTCTCGTGGAGTTCTTTGGGCTGAACCTGACATCAATCTCCCCAGACTCAATCTAAACTTCCCAAGCCAGCAAAGCCAAAACACCATGAATTCCTTAGGGTGGTGCCAGTCTCATCTTCTTAACCTTCCCACGCTCCTGCTGGAGGCTAAGGAAATGCTTATCTCCCCAAGCGCAGCCTTCATCAAACCATTCCATCACAGTAACCAATTTAATGGTATACTAAATTTTAAAAGACCTACATTGTGGTAGTCCTTGGGAAGCAGGGCTTGGTCTCGATTAACTGACAAGACTCCTGTATTAATCAGACCTTTCCTGGTCATAAAATGAAGAATTCTCTCTGTCTCCCGAACACAGCGAATACGTACTAGTCCTCGGACAATTATGTGATGAGTACATTTCTGAGGAGTTAGAGGTTCCTGTAGATTGAGGGAAGAAAACCAAACCCAAAAGAAGAAAAAGAGTCATGAAGCAAGTCCAACTCAAGCCATATAGCAAATTGTGTTGCAAATGAGGAATATTGGCTTATAAGCACCTATACTTCTGAAAAATAATGACAAAGGGACACATTTAACAGTAATAATAATGACATCACCAACTAGATGGGACCAACATTTTATGACCCTTGGGCAGAGTTAGGGAACAGAAAGGGTGACCCAAAAAGCAGGGAAAACGAGCCTGAGTTCAGATGTTTTTAAGAAATGAAATCAATTCCTTAAGATCGTGCATGGCTTAAGGCACCCATTTTTTCTCTTAAAATCCCAATTTCCCTTCCCCAGGACAGAAAATTTTGGCCCAATTAGGTATACTCTGAAAGCTTTCTTGCAGTTGTAAGCCATGGGTACATCTATGAGATAGACCAACTATTCCAAACCTGATGTCTTTCAAAATTGTTGAAATATAAAACATTACTTGAAGTTATAGGAATCATAGCTTCAACACATGTGGAGAGCATCAGGTTGGGGAAGGGTGATGTAGATTTCATGTGAACAAGAGTATTTAAAATGAGATTATCAGAATTAAATGAGTGGAAAACACATGCTTCAGAAAATATCACTTTTGCTTTCCTGTGTTTCCTTTTCTAAAAGGAGTATACTCTCCTTATCCATAGTTTATTCTTATATGCATTAACCAAATCTGCCATTGCATCAATCTTACCTCAAACACTCATTTGACAGGTGCTTTTGTAAGTATTTTTCTTGAATGACTAAGGAAAGGGCAGATGTGGAAAATGATTTACCCATTCTATAACACACCATTGTGCTAAGAACCAGGCACTCCCTTCCCTTTCTAAGTGTTCTCTCTCCATATTTATCCTATTTCTTAGGTTGGAATAATCATAGGATCCAGACATAACTACTTTTGAGGAAAAACTACATGTGAGGTACATGAAGCTTGGGAAGAAAGTCATGTTATTTTATTGAAGGAAGTTGTTCTTTTATTGAAGGAAGAAATGAGCACACCTGGATTTCTCATGAACATTTCTTCTTCTCAACAGATGAAGGGGCTACTCATCCCACTTGCTCCACAGCACAGCTTTGCCGGTGACTGAATACTTTTTCCTGGTCACAAAGCCACCTTCATCCCAGAAAATTCTTATTGCTGTAAAGTTGGCAAAATTGCAAGTGGAAAATTCCTACCTCTCCCACATTCTGATCCCACCAGAGAAAAACAAAAAATGGACAGTGAGAGAAGTAATCTGTTCCTCTAGAACAGCTTGAGGTTGCCTTCATGGCCTTCCAGCAGCTTGCAAAAACTTGGCTGTTTTGGAAAGCCTTTGAAACCTGACTGTTGTAGAGCTGTTGCAATGATGTGATTGCTATAATAATATATTAAGTTTCACTGCATTTTATTAATGTTTTTCATTGGCTTGTGTTGCTGCTGTACATTGCATATAAACCTCATGAATAAATCAATAAAGTAACAAGTTAAAAAAAAGCTTTTTTAGATAAAAATCTCTTGGCCTAGTGAAGGAAGCTCAAAGAAACTAGAATTAGCTTGGTCTTCCTTACATGAAGTTCCAGAGCCCAGGAATAATCACTAAGAAGATCCTGGCAGGAGAGTTCTGACAGGACAGAAAAGCTTCACAGTCCCACAGAATTATCAAAATATTAAAATGGTATTACTTGATAATCTTTTGAGAATACGTAAAACGTACTTTGCAGTTTGTGTACCACAAGGCCAGAATGAGATTTCGCAGAGCTAGGTACATGGTGGGGTCCCGGGAATATTCTGGAAACTCATAGAGTTCATCTAACTCCATTACATCTGGCCTTACACACAGGGCTTTACCGCATTCATTGGGCTGATAGAAAGGCTGGAAGTATTTGTTCATCCCTGAAACACAATAAAGAATCAATTGCCTGTAGAACAGCCATGAGTTCTCACTCGGTAAAGGTAGCGCAAGGAAGAGATGCAATTTGCTTATAAAACTACTATTGCTGTTGCTTGTTGAAAAGTGTTTGTGGTGTTCATGGGTTTCTCTGTGCTCAACATAAAAAAGATAGCAGCGTGTGTATCCCTGTACTATTTAGAGTAGGCATGTGTTCCTGCCCTGCACTTAGACACATAAACTGTATTAATTCTACCAGATACACATAATCAAAGACCAGCATTGCATGCTATTGAGGCAAAGGTTCTCTCAAAGTTTCATTCTTTAATTACATTTTCATTGTATTCTTATCGCCTCCAATGTGGAACAGATCTCTCAATCCACTTAAGTGGTATTCATACTTCACTGGTCTCATTTGTGGTGCCCCACATTATGGTGAATGCCTGCTAAATTGCTCTGGTACTCCCTTGCTGAAGAAGTTATGTAGCAAAGACTCAAATTGGCACTAAAGCCACAGAAGCTGATATGCATTTCTCTACAAGGGTTGCCTCATCATATGGTTACATGAAGATTTTTATCAGTGCAACCGGATAATGGACAGAAAACTCAATCATTGCAACAACCAATATGGTCAAAAATAGGAGCATGCCTTCCTATATTACATAATTCTCTGCATGTCTCTTCATAAATATGCTCCATGAAGGACTGCAGCCTTAAAATGCCTGGGATACTCTCATCATACATGGGAAAGTGTTTGTAGGATAGAAAAAGTGGACAAGTATAGGCAAACTAACATACTTTTAAAAATGCTACTAAGCATTATGAATTAGTCAAGACTAATTATTAAGGATGTGCAAAACAATTCAAATTTGAACTGTTTGAACTCAAAACACTGTTTTAAAACTGTTTTGAATGCAGAACAGCTCTTTCAATAATTTTGGAAGTGTTCTGAGCTCAAAACAAACTCAGAATGGAAGTGAATTGAAAACACTTCCAAAGTGATTGGAATAGCCAGAATTGTTAGATCAGAAATGGGGAATTAGCCCTCCCTATGTTGCTGAATTACACTTCCAGCATGCCTCATCATGGGTTATGCTGGCTGAAACTGTTGAGAGAGAAAATTCACCAACATTTGGAAGACCATAAGTTCTCTGCCCTGTTTCAGATGCTTTGAAAACAGTGTTCACCTCTGTCCAACTAGACATCATTTGTTGTTTCATCATTTGCTAGCAAAGCAAAGTTGCTTCCACGCTATGTTTTGACTCCATAACCATGGTTTATAACCTGAGGAATGAAACTATTGTACTTCCACCGAAGTACTGTAACATCTTGCAGTACCTTCCCACTGCTTCCTCCCAAATGTGGCTGCAATGGTATTAGTCACCTAATTCTCTTACCTTCTGTGATGGTATAGTGCTGTTCAAGGGCAGAATTTGGGTAGGCCCAAGGGAAGGATGCAAATAAGATCTAGTCAAAATATCAAGGAAATTTGCAGGATTTACCCTGAATGACAACTTAAAGTCCAGAAACACACTCAAGTCTTTCAAAGTAAATAAAAGATATTGTGTTACGGAAGACTGTTTATAAGCCCCAATTTTCAAAGCAAAGAATTGAGAACTGCAGTAGAACAATTCTGGGTTTAAATTACTGAGTAAATTTAATTTGAAATTAAGAGCAATTAATTAATGTATGAGTGTTGCATTAAAGAGTCCCTTCGCCCTGTTGTGCAGGAAGCCTCTTTTTAAAATGAGATGTCAGCTTTGGGGACAACTACAAAGGGCTGCTCTTTCACTATTGGGCACTTCAAGCCAACTATTACATCTCCCACTATTTCATTTCAGAGCTGAGACAAAGCAGGGGCTAAGTGGACTCATCTCACCATTAAAATGCTGCAAGCCATTCAGTATTGTGAGCCTGTAGTGCTTGCTGAGAATTGACAGCCCATCAAAAGGTGCCCTTCCTGGTGAACAGTGACCCAATCAGTGCTCAGTTACCGGGCAGTAGCTAAATGCCTTGCAAAAGTGCCTTCACTTTTGCCCTAAAAAATAAATCTCTTCCATCTCTTCCTCCGTAGTAAAAGAAACTAAATAAAAAGTGTCTCCTCTGCCCACCATGATGATATCTCTTGACATGACAATGTTGTATTCTGGCCTCTTCACTCACCCCTACCATTTTGTCATTATGCCAGGAGACCAGGAGATGAACAGCACTTTTACCAACTGACCCATTCAAACTATTGGAGGGAAATACAGACATTTCTGCAGTGCTACTCCTGAAACCAATGCAAATTTTCCATTTGCAAAGCCAGCTCACAACTGTAGCAACAAGAAGACAGGATCAAGTTCAATGAAAAGGACACAATGACAATGTTGACTGGGAGAATAAATCTGCTTGAACCTACAACTGATAATGCCCACTGTCAGTCATAATTCAAATCTAAGTACAGAGTATTTAAGGGAGGACAGACCAGAAAAGAAATCCTAGCTTACCAGCTATGGAAGGTGGAGTCTTTAAGTGCTCCATTTTTATCACACTGGATTCACCAACCAACCGGTGAGTACTGGTACAAGATGGACTCATACCCACGCAGTCTGGATAGTATGCAGATAGAAGTGGAGCAGCCACACTGTCCTTCAACAGGGGAGGAAGGATAAGCATGGAATACCACCAGTGATCTGAAACTTCAGCAACTCTCTAGAAAGAAGCATTGGAACAAGAGACAAGAAGAAAAATCTTAGGAACAACTCAAGCTCCCTCCCCCTCCCCAGTATTATTTCTCAATCCTGATTGCACTTCACATCAAAAGACAAATTGGAGATAGATAGATAGATAGATAGATAGATAGATAGATAGATAGATAGA